AACACTGCCAAGAACAACTTGCATGGACCAATCTAATTTTGTTATGTGACAAGATAACCAACCTAACAGACAAGGAGAAAGACGCACATGCGGTATATCTTGAGTACAGATCTGGCCAGTGTCCCACACAGTATCTTCATGAGCAACTGAAGGAAAAATGGTCTAGATGAAGTCACAGTAAAATTAAGCACTGACCCAGTGGTCCCTTCAGCTCACCTAGAAACATTGCACCTCTGGAATACGAAATTACCCTTTCAAATCTGGCATTTAATGTCCAGGGCACATTAAGGTTAATAAAAGCAGTGTTAAAAATTTCCTGGCTTGTGGCATTTTAATTCAAGCCATTTGAATTCCCTGACCTCTATGCCTCCCTATGTACAGCAGGTTTTGTTCATTTTCCCCACAAAAAAGATGTTTTGGGGAAGATAGGTTGAACGTGGTAGAGTGTGCATGTTACGCACATCAAAATCATAAGAATTCGGGGTTTAATTCCTACTGCTGTACAGTGTTTGGTCTCCATTTATTTCAGACATGTCACAATGCTTAAGAAAAAAAATCTTCTTAAGTAATTTCAATCTTTTTAATTTCTCAGGTTAAAAAATAAAAACAAAAACAAAAAACCAACAACTTTCTACTACCTATTCTCCATGCAACAGCAATGTACAGCTGAAGCCCAGAGAAGGTCCTACAAGGAAACAGAGGAACACTTGATTATACATGGGTTTTGAGGGAGTAGAACAAGGAGTGGATGCAGATGCTGCTGGAGGAGGCCATAACTCACAACTGAAGACCAGGTACATGTCTTGCACTTCCACTTGCCACTCCTTGCTGTTCTTCAGTGGCTGTGGGATGGCACTGTCAACCCCCAAAGCTGCTATACTCCAAGTAATCCCAGTGGTCTCCCTTATGACACACTTTAGGGTGCTCCCCAGTTAAGGTTACAGAACATTTGAGTTTTGCTGAGCATGATCCCTCTTTTGTTACAATTTCCAATAAAAAAATAATAATAAAAAAGTATACTTGGGATTTTTCCCCAAGAATTCCTGAATATCCAGCAACACCACCAAAAGCAGAGTTTGAAGCAGTCATCTGACACCCAGAACTCCCAGGCAATCCAAATTCCCCCCCAAACTGCCTCCAGGATTCCTCCCCAAACTGCTACAAACAGAGCCTGCGGATCTCTCTAATTAGTCTGGTCAGCAAGGGCAACTGCCATGCGGCCCCATGATGGGCTGTAAGTCCATCCATCATTGCATGAGCCCAGGGCCAAGGGAATCACCTTCAAGTAACTAATCTTTCCCAGCCTGGGAGAGCATTCAGATCGAGCATAGAGGAAAGGCAGCCAAGATGGACAGAGAGGTATTGGGACAGAGGACCCTTTAAAAAAAAAAACAAACCACAAAACTCAAACAAAACCTGAGCCCCCTTTTCTTTGCTCTCTTTCATGAAATTAAAGATTTAAAAAATGAAGTCCCCAGCAGTTCTTTTTCACCCCATCCAACTGTATGACCACTTGCTGTGACAAGCCTCCAGCTCCTTGGGTGAGCTGGGGCTGCTGAAACCTGCTTGTTCTTCATATGTGACTTCCATGCCAATTTATTACCTAAAGGCTATTAAGCAGTGCCATCCCCAGCACCTTTCTTGTTGAAGGATCTCAGGTTTTTTGATACGCCAGAAGGCTGCGCTGCCATTCAGCGGGACCTGGACAGGCTGGAGAATTGGGCGGAGAGGAACCTGATGAAATTCAATAAGGGCAAGTGTCTAGTGCTGCACCTGGGGAGGTCGAACCCCATGCACCAATACAGGCTGGGGGCTGACCTGCTGGAAAGCAGCTCTGCCCGGAGGGACCTGGGAGTCCTGGTGGATGACAAGCTGGCCATGAGACAGCAATGTGCCCTTGTTGCCAAGAAGGCCAATGGCATCCTGGGGTGCATTAAGAGGAGTGTGGCCAGCAGGGCGAGGGAGGTTCTCCTCCCCCTCTGCTCTGCCCAGGTGAGACCCCACCTGGAGTACTGTGTCCAGCTCTGGGCTCCCCGGTTCAGGAGCCAGACTCTTTGCAGTGGTGTCCAGTGACAGGACAAGGGGGAATGGGTACAAACGGAGACATAAGAGGTTTCAGTTGAATATGAGGAAAAACTTCTTTACTCTGCGGGTCACAGAGCCCTGGAACAGGCTGCCCAGGGGGGCTGTGGAGTCTCCTTCTCTGGAGGTATTCAAAGCCCGCCTGGATGAAGTCCTGTGTAACATGCTCTAGGAGAACCTTTTTTAGCAGGGGGGTTGGACTAGATGATCTCCCGAGGTCCCTTCCAACCCTCCAACCCCTGTGATTCTGTTTTCTGTTGGCTGCCTGAATATTACCACTGGACCACACACTACTGTTGGACAGTAACTATCTGCAGGGATGCTAGTACCCATTTTTATTTATTTATTAGATATAAAAAGAAGGGGAGGTTTAGAGCACAGGCAGAATATGTCCATCAAGGTCTGCACCCACTGCAAGCAGACATACATACGCTAGCAGGAAGGCCACGCTCTTTTGTTCCAGCCATACCATGATCTAATACAGTGGGCAGTTTTTCTTAGCAAGCCCGTCATCCATCTTTCAGAAGCAGGAGGCAGACGATTAGTGTTGCATTACTCCAGACACTTAATTAATGACAATATTTGGGGATACTACAACAAAAGACATCCAGCATGTGTTACTCAGTCTCCCACGGTGAAGATGCATGGGGAGCTAGGCAGGTTCAGATGTAACATCTCTGATTGAGACACACAGAAAAGAGAAAAGTTTCTCTAAGCTGCCCTTGGGCAACACAATCAGATTCCTTCCCTTGCAGTCCTTTCCACAGGGAAGCCTAACCAAAGGACTAACCCCATATTTGGCTAGTCCATAACCAATTTTGGCTTGCTGGAAAAATCAACCCTGGAGGACTTTGGAGATGTATCCATCACAATGCCACCCTAGATGATGTGTGCATGCATGGAGAGGAAGCCAGCATTCAACTCCAAGACATAAGCCAATATGTTAACAGGCTCCACTCGGGCAGGTGACAGACCGTGGCTGTCTCAAGAAAGCTGATGTTTCTACATGAGCTGCTTTTTGCAATCCACTGAGGGTGGCTTCAGCGTCACATGAGTAACTGAAAAACGATGAGCAAGCTGGGCACAATGAGGTATCTCTTCAAATATTTAGAGATTTCAAGTGTCTTGAATGATTCTGTGCATTTGCATTAAAAATAGTGGTCCTTTCATATAGCACAATAAGTATTCATGTTTTTTTAACCTAAACTACAATGCACCAAGATTCATCATTTGGCTAGTCCACATTTCAATTCTCTTTTCTTACGGTTCTTTCATTGTGCCCAAGTATCCCATTCTTCCTTGCTTTTATGCCTTTAATTATGCCTTGTAGAATAGCCTAAAAATCACTATTTACGACTGAACAGACGACTTGCACTTACTGCAATACCTTCTCCCTGTTCAAAGAAAAAAAGATCATAATTACACCCAAACTCGTAGGAAAACAGAAAACCAAGAGGAACCTCTATGCTTCTTTTATATTTCCATCCAGGGGGAACAGCTATTTGCAAAACAACGAAATGTTTCCCAAAGAACATTTGCAACCCTCAAAACTTGAAAAGCCAGTCAGGCTGCCTTAATGAACAGCCCAGTTGAAATCAAAGGCAGTTGAAGAGATGGGTGATGTTCTTCCCTGGTGCGAAGCGATAACACAGCCCTTTGTCATGTTACAAGGTCCCCTTTCCTGATGTTTCTGCAGAGGCCTGAACTCCCAGTTGCATCTACACCATAGCCATAGCCACTGCAGCCTGCACCCTGCAGTGCAAGCCAGACCCAGGACCAAAATTAAATGCGAGAATATGCTCCAGCTAATGAGGCTTGCTGAAAGACAGACTAGATTAACACAGATCCAGCCCTATAGCAATGCCCATCTAGATCAGAATCTGGTGCACATCTGGGCAGCTGGAGATGTGGTCTTATCTGCCCATGCCTGCATGAGCTGGCCATTTGAACAGCAGCTCAGAAGTGGGCAGGATGAGACCTACTTTCCACCTCCATGCACGAGCCAGCCCCATGTCAACAGGGACAACTGTTGCGTTACCCAGTGTTCTTCTGGCAAAGGATGACTCCTACAACCTGCCTGTGTCAAGAAGGGGACACAGTAGAGTCAACGCCTTCAACACACAAAAGCAGGAGGTTATAATCATTAGCTGCGTTCCATGTTATGACAATTACATGATGAATTTGCTTTTATGAAGCGCAGCTTTTACTCGCACATTTGGAACCATTTCAAATACACAGGTTGACACCGAGATGTTTTGCTCTTTCTACTTTAGCATCTCTAGAGTGCTTTGGGGCAAGGGGGGGAAACAGGTAAGGAAAGCACATCTGGTCTTTGCTTAAAAACATGCCACAAAAATAGAATCCACAGTCATGTGCAAGACACTGTTTATGGTTTCAGCATTTCCTGAGCAACTTTTTGACCCTGCTGCCACAGGCAAGCACATTTCCCAGATTCAAGCACCCTCCAGAGTGGTTAAGTTACCCTCTGTGGAAGCACAGCGTGCTGCCCTTTGTACATCTTCCCATCTACTCCCATCATCTGTGTCCTTAAAGCCAGCCACAGAGGAACCATTTGGATAAACTTCTTGCAAAGGTGCTGGGTAGATGAGGAAAGTCATGAGCAGGTCTAGAGAATACGCTACATTTCTTCTTGTAGTACCCCAAAATACCTCCAAAATCCTCATCAGTGCTGCTCTTCCATGTTGCAGCCTCAAGTCCTGAGCATGGCAAGATGTTGTGTCTCATCATACAAATGGAACTCAACAAAACTTTGGTTTTCACCTTTGAAAATACTATCAGAAATGACCTCTGGAGAGAGTGTGGTATTTATACCTCAGCCGCACTGAACACAAGCAAGTAAAACTTCAGTCTCCAGGGAGTCGATTCGAAAAAACTATGGCAAAGGATCAATACGTTACCAAGAGGTTGATAGCCTTGTCTCGAAGGGCCTCCAAATGGATTCCTGCTCCCAAATCCACTCCCATCAATGGATCCATAAGACATTTTCTAGATAGCAATGGATGTGGGATTATACTCCAAACCTAAGAAAACAGAGAAAAAGACAGATACAACACTGTTAACAGTCAGTTAAACCCCAGTATTCTAAGAAAAAAGGAAAAAAAAATAAAAATGCAAATGAAAAAATACAGGACTATCTCCAAACTTCAGGATGCCTACCTGCAAAAAACCCCAAAGCACTAAAATCCAAGTCTCCTGGACTACAGCTGATCTTGGGGGCAAACAAGTCATTTGACCTCCTGTGCCTTATTTTCTCCAGTGATAAAGAGCAACCATTTATCTGTTGCAGCTGCGGCAAGACTTTTAATTCCTTGCTGTTCACAAGGTGCTTTGAGATCCCAAGCTGGTAGGCAAAGACTAGGCACTAGATCAAAAAAAGGTAATGCTGTCTTCTGGAACATTACCACTACACAGCTGGCTAGGAGTCTATCCATCATACTGCAATCTTGATGAGCTCTCAAAAGAGACAGTTTACTGCTATATTATAAGCTTCTGGGCCTCTAGTATAAATATTGGAGCCAGAGTTATTTTTCCTTGTTGGTTTTTGTTGGTTTGTTGGGGTTTTTTTTTTCTTAAAAAAAGCTGCAAGGCCTAAGGTAGTAGCAGCAGAATGAAATCAATGTAGCACTGTCAGAGAAAGACTACCCTTCCCCCTTCCCATCCACAGGCATTGTCTCACCATGGGCCCCAGATACCCTCCAGCATACCAGCAGGGTCCCAGGACTTTGATATTAAAAATATTTCAACCCTAAGGCATGGAGACGATGATGACAAAGGAAAAGATAACTGTGCTGCACCAGTTGGGGCATGATACAGGACCAAAGCCAGCTGCTGCTTCCTTACACCAAGACTATAAAAAACCACCCCAATCAGGGGAAATCTGGAGGCTGAGGATAGACACTTACTTCCTGAAAAAGGTAGAAGACAATGCTACCTACTGGGTAGCCCTTCACCAAGCAGCAATGAAGTGTTGCTGCAGTATAACAGCATGGGAGAGTCCAGTGGAGAGGACACATTGGTGTGAGATGACTAGGAATACCACCTGCCCTCCATGTAGGGAGTTGTTCTGTCTTTACAAATACCATTTTTTAACTGAAGGACAAACAAAAAAACTGGACCAAAAACCCACCCTCTCCAACAAGCTTGTGCAACCCCTTCAGCATGATGGCAGAACCACAGAATAGTTCAGGTTGGAAGGGACCTTTAGAGGTCATCTAGTCCAATCCCCCTGCAATGAGCAGGGAAACCTTCAACCAGATCAGATTGCTCAGAGCCTTGTCCAACCTGATCTTGAATGTTTCTAGGGATAGGGCACCTACAGCCTCTCTGGGAACCTGTTCCAGTGTCGCAACACCACCATCGTAAAAAATTTCATCCTTAGATCTAGTCTAAATCTACCCTGTTTTAGTTTAAAAACATTAGTCCTTGTCCTATCACTACAGGAACTACTAAAAAGTCTGTCCCCATCTTTCCTACAGGCCACTTTTAAGTACTGAAAGGCCACAACAAGGTGTCCCCAGAGCCTTCTCTTCTCCAGGCTAAACAACCCCAACTCTCTCAGCCTTCTCTCATAGGAGAGGTGTTCCATTCCTCCAATCATTTTTGTGCCTCACCTCTATATCCACTCCAACCAGTCCATGTCTTCCTTGTACTGAGAAAGATATTGGGGTGTAAGGCTGGAAGCCATCTGTGAATCAAGGATTTCCAAGACACTCAACAACATGACAGCTGATCACGTCAAGCATATAAAACTGTAAGTACCATAAAAATATAATATATGGTGTCTTGATGGAAGTTCTTCTTCACAACCACTAAGCACTACAAGAAACAGATGAAGATTCACTTGGGAAGTCTGCAGTGGACTTGGGAACAAATCTTGCCTCTCCCAGGTTTCAGGTTAGCCCACAACGACCACAGTAACACAAACTCCACTGCAAAATGCAACCCAAGATCTAGCAAAAATATTACGTGGAAAAATAAGGGCACATAGAAGACAATTACAGGAAAATTTCTGGGCGGGAATAAGGAGTTATTTTCTTTACCTCCCAGCATGGCTACAGATTAAGGCTGCTGTAAGCAGGGAAGTGGGAAACCCAAACAGCTTAAAAACTTCCTCTGTACAGCAGCTGATCCTGACCCATCCTTTCTTTTTAGAGATAAGCAAGTGGAAGCATTTGCTGCCATGACTTCCCCAAGGCCACATACAACAAACATGGAGTGAAATCCTACACCATGTTGTAAAATGACTTGATTACAACTGGGCAAGTGTTTCTTTGGCAAACAGTGAATGCATCTATTTTTTCCCCAACAGAGTGGTGTGAAAGGGGGAGAGAAGGAAGGCTTTTAGAGCACTCCAAATACTTCATGTTGATTTATCATTTCCAAAGCATGCTTCCATTTTAAAACTATTTCTCCCTGTAAGGGGAAAGAAAAGAAAGAACTGAAAATGAAATATTTTGTTTTAGTTTTACCAACCTTTTTCAGAAACAAACACCTCCCACCCCATCCTACTAAACCATTGAAAAATCCCTTATTCACACAGCTCCGGAACCACGCTCCTACCCCACAGTAATATATTCACAGGAAAATTTAATGACAGACCTAAATACCTTTAATTTGATTGGCAATAAAATCATTTCCTTCCCCATCCCCATGGCACCTCCCAAGTCTTTTATCTGCTGCTCCTTCAGAAGACTTGCCCAATTTACTGTGAAGGCAGTTTGTACAAATTGGACCACACATTGCCTAACATGCTACATATAGAAAAAAAAAAATTAAAAAAGAAGGAAAAAAAAAAATATTTTATCACAGGTTTGTACAAATTGGACCACACATTGCCTAACATACTACATACAGAAAAAAAAAATAAAAAAGAAGGAAAAAAAAATATTTTATCACAACTTCATCCTCACCACCTAAAATACAAATGAAGGAACAACCATACCCAAGGCAGACTAAGAGAACATCCATCCTGCTAGAGGCATGAATTTGTATTTTAATAACATGCAACTACTTCTTGTTTTGTGTATCCTGTAGAAGTCAATCATGCAGTGAGTATAATAGTAGGATGTAGGTTCTCAAGAAAAGGGTTGGTCCATGTTTCTTGGATTGGGAAAGATACTGGCAGGCAAAATCAAGCAGGCAAAAATATTTATAGAGTTCCCCTATACACATCAGTCTCCGTTTAGAGGGACATTCAGTTGGTCAGTGTAATCAGTAGTAGGAATGAAAGGCAAGATTTCAGCATGGAAGAAATAGGTTAGAGAGTACTTTAGGCAAGTCAGATGTTTTTAAGATTGAGTTTGACTGAGAAAGACATGAGCATACTGGAAAGAAATGGAAAAGAACAGACATGGACATATTGGAGTGATTCCAACAAAAGGCCATGAAGGTGATTAAGGGATGGGAGCAACTGATATGTGAGGAGAGGCTGAAGGACCTGGGACTGTTCAGCCTGGAGAAGAAGGCTCAGAGTGGGGTGTCTGTGTGCACTAACATGTATATATATTTGATGGGAGCAAGTAAACCTGATGGAACCAAACTCTTCTCAGTGGTACTCACTAACAGGACAAGAGGCAGTGGGGATGAATTGAAAGATGGGAGATTCCACTTAAAAAAAGAAAAAAAGCTGTTGCTTTTTTTGTTGGATTGTTTGTTTTTTGTTTTTTTTTAATAGTAAGGGTGGTCAAACACAGGCACAGGTTGTACAGAATGGTTGTGGAGTCCCCATCCTTGGAGATATGGAAGACTGAACATCAGCCTGAGCAACCTGCTCTAGGTGACCCTGCTCTGAGGAGGGGAGTTGGACAAGATAATGTGCATAAGTTCCTTCCCACCTCAGTGGTTCTGGGATTCTGCTATTTTCTTCCTATGATGCCTGAAGCAACTTGAGAGACATTCATGGCTGCCTTGGCAGACTGGAGGACCCCCTCTACTCTGCTCTGGTGAGACCTCACCTGGAGTACTGCGTCCAGCTCTGGAGCCCTCAGCACAAGAAGGACATGGAAGTGTTGGAGTGGGTCCAGAGGAGGGCTACAAAAATGATCCGAGGGCTGGAGCACCTCTCTTATGAAGACAGGCTGAGGGAGTTGGGCTTGTTCAGCCTGGAGAAGAGAAGGCTGCGGGGAGACCTGATTGCGGCCTTCCAGTACCTAAAGGGGGCCTATAGGAAAGATAGGGAAAATCTTTTTAGTAGGGCCAGCTGTGTCAGGACAAGGGGTAATGGTGTTAAACTAAAACAGGGTAGGTTTAGACTAGATATAAGGAAGAAATTCTTTTCAGTGAGGGTGGTGAGAGACTGGCAGGGGTTGCCCAGAGAGGTGGTGGAGGCCCCATCCCTGGAAACATTCAAGGCCAGGTTGGA